CGCACCTGGGCAAATTCAGAGCCTGACACAGGGCTCCCTCATGACCTCTGCCAACTAATCAGTGAAAATCTTTCCAGATTTGGAGCCTGATCCACAGACTGGGCTCATGCCCAGAACAGCAAGTGACTCCAAGCAGTAGGAAAGCCTGCCCAGGTGCCAGGGAGAGTCTTCACATCTGACTGACATATGGGCTCTGAACTTTCTCTTCTCACAGCTTGAGGTCATGAAGGGGGAGCATGTGCGGGTGTAATGTTCAGTTCATACATACACAGCCTAGGGGATTTGGTTGAAACCAAATCATAATTACAACACCAGCCAGGAAAACAAGGCATGATTTTTTCTTACCTTGCATATGAACTTAAATATATGTTGGACACAATAAGAGTAAGTATTAGTTTTGTTTTTGGAAATTGTAAATTCCCTTTTACAACAGTTCACTTTGTAAAATTAACAGTACAGTTAAGTTAAATAATGGTTCAATGATTCATATTTGTTGAGTAAGGCATGAAACACTGCAATGGAAAAAAAAACAAAGTTTCCTTCTTTTCAAGTCATTCTGTTGATAATTTTAGCATTCTGTGGAGTGTTCCTAGAGGATTTCTACACTGGGTCTGAATGACCATCACTTCTGTGCTACCCTCAATGTTCTATTGCTGAGAAACACACACACACACACACACACACACACACACAGAGAGAGAGAGAGAGAGAGAGAGAGAGAGAGAGAGAGAGACTCTCTTCAAAGTAGCCCAGATGCTCACATTGGGTAACTAAGTTAATTTGAGATGCTAACTATGACCACAAAATAAAGGTCAAGAAAAAGCCATCAGCATGGATGTTAGAGAAAAATACTAGAAGGCTTCAAAGTGGGCCCGGAACATTTCTTGTTAACAAATTCCCTGGCTGCCCCATGTTAGTCACTGCTGTAGAGACTGCACGGAGTAAGATCTTGCTCTTCCTCCCCAAGTCTTGTTGAAGGCACTAAGGAAACAGATTTATAGAGCCCCAGCTCCATTTGGCAAAACAGAATCACATTGTTATGCTTCTCAGAGCAGAAGAAAAGGATGAGTGGTGAAGTTATCTACGTAATGGCGAAGATGACAGAACAGTAACCCATGAGCTGGGACCTTCACTCACAACCCCTATCAGAGCAGAGAAGGAAATTCACAGAAAGCAAAGACCTCCCCCAAACCCACCCCAGGGAGAACCCCAGAAAGACTCATATGAAAAGTCTAAGGAATGGCCCAATGGTCAAGGCTGGACACGCCTACTCCATTTTGTATGAGTCATGTGATCAGGTAGACAGTTTCATGGTGTAACTATACTATATAAATCTACCTTTTAAATTGAAAAAACTATCTCCTTAAATGGAGCTTGATGTGTAGGCTATGGATACCACACTCACTTCTAACTGTTCACAGAGTAGCCTGGTGGAAAGCTCTGGCTATAGGAGATGCAGTACTCAGCTCTGGGGCGCACTGTGACTATCTTCGATGGTGTTCTCACCCGCTACAGTAGTGCCACCCTCACACATGCAGCTCCTGCACCCACGTGGTCAGGCATGGGGGGGGTTAGCCTCCGGAAAGCCATAGACAGAGTCCCAGACGTCCATGCAGACGCTGAGGTGATTTATCTCTACATAGCCCATGGCCATCTAGCTTCAAGCGCAAGCACAGCTCACAGTGGGAGAGACTGAAAATGGTTCATATAAAACCAGCCCTGCAATTGTGAAAGCCAGAGAAACTGTCCACTGAGTGTGATGACCGAATCCTATGAATGCCTACATCTGTTTTAGCTTCTTCTGATATTCAAGTAGAAAAATACATTAACTCCCCGAGCTTGCATAAGATCAGGTAACTTTCTATGGAGCTGGAGTAGGAGAGGATAAAATTCCACACATAAGCATGGTTATTAACTTAAATAACCAAGTGCATCCCTAGAAGTAAGTCCTTCTAGCTGTCTTAAATGCTGAGGCAGAATCAAGGCTTCTTAATGCTAGTTGGAGCCTGAGACTGTGGGCCTAAGAGAGGTTTGTCGGTGTACCCTAACTCACCTTGCAAGTGCATGACGGAGCTAGCTCACCCTGTGATAGCTGCAAGCATATTCTACCCTGTCATCCCGATGCATGCATACACACATATGCATACACACACCCCTAGAGGGTTCTAGGGATGGTATAGTCTAGTGTCATTAGTTATTGAGAGATGTGCATACTAGGTTAATAGGGATGTAAAATCCCTGTAAGAATTTGTCACATTGAGCTTTAAAGAAAAAGTTATATGGTATGTGACACTGGGCTATTTTATGTGTGTCTGTGTTCATGATCATACATGTGTACATGTGCAGGTATGTAAGTATGTGCAGAGCCCAGAGGTTAATTTCAGATGTCTTTCTCTATTGCTCTTTATCTTATATATGTAGACAGGGTCTCTCATGGAGCCTGGAGTTTGCAGATTTGGCTGTACTGGCTGGATGGCAAGCTCCACCTCCTGTCTGTGTCTCTCTAGCACTGGATTATGGGTGTCTGCCAATACACCCAGATTTTCCATGTGGGTGCTAGAGATTGGACTCAGGTCTTTTTGTTTGTATGACATGTACTTTATTTAAGTGAGCCATCTCCCAGGCCTACTCTGATGAGTTTGACTTAGAATTTTACACAAATGAATAATAACAATATCTGAGAATATTAGATTTGTCTGAATTTAATTTAATGTTCAATTACCTCTAAATATTCAAATATTTTACAAATGTAAAATAAGGAGAAGTACTAAAGGAGAAGTTGGTTAGAAACTTAGATATTTGTATTTTTATGGAAAGTCAATTTTTCCTCAATAAATTTTCTGGGAGTTCTAAATAATTATTAACTGAAAAAGGGATAATACATATATGCAACATATATATATTTCACATGTATATCCTGCATTGATTCTCAAGAAAATAATTAACATGTGGCACATTTATCATATAAAACTGGCTTAAAGTGAAATGTTCTCGAAATAAATATATATCATTGCTTTTCATTCTATATGGGGTGACATAAGATAAAATTTCAGTTTTATAATTTACTAGGTCAAATGATATGAAATTATAGTTTCTCTAGGTCAACCACAGTTGGGTCAGAAGCTTACTATTGTCAATACTGTATTCAGTTTTGGATTGTTCTGAGAGAGAATGTAAAAAGTTCAGTAATAAAAGAGTAGGAAGGTTGAAGGAAGAAAGGCATTCCACCCGGATCTGAGAGGATGCTCACTGTCAGATTTAACCCTGGGAACAGAGACATCAATGCCACTCCATCTTATGGATCAGAAAGTGACCTGTGTAAGGACAGACAGCAGGAGGAGAGCCAGTTCTCTAAGCTCCCACGAGCGCTGCCTACCCACTTTCCTAACGCCACCAGCTCACACACATGATTTTCTCATCAACCAAGACACCGGAGAGCTCCCTGCATGAAGTGGTCCTACTGCCTTTGATGGCCTGCAAGAGTCAAGAGCTCCCTTTTGCATTAGGTAGGTTTTTTTTTTTTTTTTTAAGTTCCATCCCTGACTTTTAGGATGCGTCTCACAAACCCTGTTTCTTCTTGTTGCCTGTAATGTGCCTCTGCACCTTTGGCATATGGCTATTATCCTTTCTCTCCACCTCAACAGGCATTATTTAGCTGTGACCTAAGCATTTGATACTTTTATATTTTCAATCTCTTAGTAAAGGGTAGTTCTTACTATCTGGTTTGATTTTAGAATTGTTACTTCCAATAATTTCACATTTTGGAGGTTTGTCTTCCTTTTGGTTCATCGCTTAAACTATCCTTGTTTTAAATGATACTCAATTTTATTTTTTTCTTTTTCATTATGTGACCTAAAAAATATTCATATATTGGCAGTGTGACTCTAATCAGCATATACAAATCATGTTCTGGCTCAGTGGTTGAATGTATGCTTAGCATGTGTGTGAGGCCCTCAGTCTAATCCTTAACCAATCATCAACAAACAAATACAAGACAGGTTTTAAATATCAAACTGATGGTCAATGTTACAAAAAGACTTCAAGAGACATTTCTAAATGTATCTGTATCTTGCTGCCACATGGGGATTCATATAGTTCTGAGTTATTAATGGTAATAAAATATTTAGACACAAGAAAAAAAAGATCATGATATAATTTTGAAGAAATCACCCCAAGACTAAAAGCTAGTATGTTATACTCAGAAGTGTATGCTGTGTCTTACTTATTATTTATTCATTTGTTTATTAATCAGATATTGTTTTGTATATTCTGCACTGCAAGTCAATATGAAAGTTTCTACAAAAAATAAGTTTTACTGTTTCTTGTTTATACAAACTGAGCCTCCTTTCTGAAGGTCTAACCCTATTTTTTGGAAGCAGAGGGAGTTAGAGAAACTTCCATTAACTTAAATAAAAGATATAGGCATTCATCTAGAACTCACACACAAACATTCACTCTTAAGGCTGCTGAAATATCAAGTCTTCAACTCTCCATTAAAAACAAGCTCTGATTATAAGCTTTCAAATTATTTAAAGATGTGAAAGTCTGTCTGCAGTTGAGCCTCATTCAAAGCCAAAGCAGAAATCATTTCTTCTTCTTCCAACTCGAAGTATGTTTAGAAGGACATCTGATAGAAGTGGCTGTGCCAGTTTAACCAACTCTAAATACAAAACGCTTCTAGCAACATTTGGATACATATAATTTGACAAAAAGTTTTGTAAACTTAAGCTTTGAAAAAATAGAAACTATAAGCTCCAACAAAAAGCTTAATATGTAATTGAAAGAAAATAATATTTTGTAGAAAAAAACTTTGCCCTTCCAAAAAGAGACAAAAATGACTAACTTTTATTTCCCAAGAGAATTATGCTGCTTTTATACAACAAAATTACAGCTGCCACAAATTGCTTTCAACAATTCCATCGCTTCTGCATTTGACCACTTGAAAATCAAGATTCTTTCAGATTGTAAATATAACTTTTTATAACTCTGTTATTACGTACTGTGAATGGGGAAAGAGGGCCAATCTTGTGGCCGTAGCGTCGAATGGCTTCTCTGATGTGGCAGGGCTGGATGGCATCGCTGTGAGCCTCAACACCACAGGCCGCAGTGCTCTGGGACAGAAAAACACATAAATTGTTACTAAATCAAAAACACGCAACAGAACTACAGTGTATAAAATATGAAAATAAACCTTTATAAAATGGACCATTTTCCCCTCAGGATGCACATCGCTGCCGCCATATACTACATCTAAAAAGAAAGCTCCATTAACAAATCAAAGATGACTTTTCTGTGACCCCGTCCAAGCAGACCCACCAAATGCAGTTTTTATGCCTTCAATATTTCACCCAAGCTTGCATGTCAGGTAGGAGTGCACAGCCACTTGCGTGCCAGCGAAAAGTGTCACGGGGCCTTGTTGAAAGACCCACAGGAAGCTCTTTTCAAAAAAACGTTTAAACATTTATGATTATAAATGTTTCTTGGGAGAGTCTTGGGCTTATTTTGAAATGACTTGAGTCATGAATTTAAAATGAAAAAATGTAAAATGGCCATATATTTGTCATATTGGGGACTGTCATAGAGGACTATTTAGTTCTTAGTATTTCAGGTGTCCTTGGGATAAAGTAAAATAAAACATTCATATTTTATCTCATGTATGAAAGGCATGTTTGAAATCAACAAAAGACAAGAAAGATTTTGTGCAATGAAAGATTTTGTGAAAAAAAAAAACCTCAGGAAACTATGTGTACATGTATATATACAAATATGTACATGTATATATATGTATATATGCGTGTGTATGATATAACTTCAAACAATTATAACGTTCTTTGGATTCTCAGTGCATTAAAAGGCAGTGAACTGTCTTAGTCAGGTCTGCAAGTTCAGCCTTGGGCCCAGCTACCTTGGGTCTACATTGGAGTCCATCTGTTACCAACTTTGTCAATATTTCTGGGTGTCAGATATCTTCCACCCCCATCCGTAAATTAGGGTAATAATTCTAAGTACTTCACAGGCTGGCTGTGAAAATAAATGAACTAAAATATATGGGGCACTTAGAATTATAGTGGCAGGCTATAAAGCTATACTGGAGTCAGATTATCATTTAAGGATCAAAAATGGGATCACCAATACTCAACACAGTAAGCTGGCAGAAAGTACAGCTATTCAACTATACAAAGAGAAAGAACTATTTAGTCCATATGCTATTGTAATTATGTTCTAGAATCCACTCACAGTCACCCAATCAATGTTATTTGTTTTTCTGAGCCTACCATTAATGCGTTTTTTTTTTTTTCCTGATAATTTTCACAAACACCATGATGACTCACAGGGAATATAATTCTGTATGTAGAACCTCTGTGGCTAACAGTTCGAGATGATCTCACCAAAATGAAAAACACAGCCTCTCTGACTCAGCAATTTTACCTTTAAGAATTTTCCTAATGATACATTTCAAGAGTACAAAATAATCTGTATAAACTTATACATGAATAGTTAATACACTGCTATTTAGATTGACAACTAAATGCGTACCAGTAGGACTAGGCAAATAAAGTATAATGCAGTCATTCAAAGAAACAGAAAAGATGACACCCTTCTGGAATGATGATTCTTATAGTTTGATTCCTAAAGTACATTATGCGAAAAAACAAAACAAAACAAAAAAACGACAAGGTATTCAGTCAGTCAGCACTATGTTACTGCTTATTGAAAAGAGACTGAGCTGGGAGGTGGTGGTGCACTTCTTACATCTTTAACCCCGCACTTGGGAGGCAGAGAGGCAGGAGGATCTCTGCATTCCAGGCCAGCCTGGTCTACAGAGTGAGTTCTAGGACAGCCAGGGCTACCCCCCCCCCAAAAAAAAAAACCCCTGTCTCCAAAAACAAACAAAACCCCGGAACAAATGTTATTTATCCATTTAAACATGGACTGTGTCTGCTAGGGTTCAGTGAATATCTTAACTGGGCTCTCATGCAGATTAAGTGGCTGACTAGAAGACAAGGGTCAGAGAAAGACTTATTTTTCATTATATTCTTCCCTGGACTTTGAAAATATACTTTCAATCTACCTAGATATGAGTAAAACAATGGAAATTCCTACCAAACAAGAATAATTGCCAATTATCCAGCTTAACCTAAAGGGAGACTTGTAAGGATTCAGGCATTATTCTGGCCAGCTCCTGTCACTTGGCTGAGTGCACTCAGGCGGTACCCTGCTCAGCCCAGGCTTCCATGAGCACCAGTCTGCACGCAGGTGCAAAGGACCCTTTAAAAGACAGACCCTGCCCACTTAAGCTCTCCTTCTGCTCTTCCCTGCTGTTCCCCTGGGGCAGACAGGACTTTCCCTGCCTCCCTCTTCTCTTCTGTCCTCTCTCTGTCTCTGTGTCTCTTTTCTCTTTCCTTCCTCACTTTCTCTTTCTAATAAAACTTCTCACTAGGCTCTGTCTGCCTGGCATGTTTATCCCTCACCTTGGTCACCCATGGATGCCATGGAATCCACCAAGGTCCCCTGTGTATTCTTTCCAACAAGACTTACAGCAAAACAAACTAGCTCTTGGTTACTTTGTTACAATCAGAGTTGAAATAAGGCAAATCAGGGCTCAGGGAGGATCTTTCTCTACCTCTCCTGTGCCCACATCAACATGGATGAAGTTATCTTGACCTTCACTTTGTCAATGATGTAAATAATTGTTTGAGTGTTTTCTCAATCCTCAGTCCATCTCATTTCACCTTGGAAGGAATGCACAGGAATAAAATGCAACCATCAGGTCCCCAGATGTGGGCAAAGCCTCTTCAGTGTGTCTGTCTTGCTCTGTAACTCACACACCTGCCTTTATAGTTGATGCCCATAAGGAGGTGGTAGGATCCTTTCCATTTGTGGAAATGTATGTGAGTGTTGAACTGAATTTAGAATCTAAAGAAAAAGTCTTCCAGTAGGAATTCAAGAGGAAATAAAGCAGACACCAGGGTCAGTATCCTATGCACAAAATGAAGTTCTAAGCCCTTCTAACACACAGTTCCTCTATGGGGCTCCCCTAAATTCACTTTTTCTCCTTGAAGATTATATTTAGTTTTCATTTCTTAACTCAAGGGTAAGATAGAACTTCTGTTAAGTTCGCCAATAGATTTGATTCTGTTTGTAGAAGATTTTGTTCCAAACCTCTTAACTTTGCAATGGCAATCCAATAGGACCTAGGGACACTGAAGTAGCAAAGTATCTGGTCTGAATCTGCCCGTCTGCCCCAGAATCCTACATTGAGATCTTAATGTCCAAGGGCTTTAGGAGGTGACACAGTTATGAGGGCTGAGCTCCCACTCTTACTCCTATGTGAGGCTAGATGACTCTATGCATGAAACTATATGCAGACATTCACCAACCAATGAATCTTTGGACTCCCTAGCCTTTGGAATGCGAGAAACAAATTTCTCATTTGTAAACCACATAATTTATATCATTTTACTGTAGTAGCTGGAATGGACTATGACATAACAATAAAAAGCTAAAAATGATCTGTGCTCGTTATTTTAAAAAAAGATATACTTAGGTTTTTTTTTTGTGTGTGTGTGTGTATAGGTTATTTGTCTGTGTATCACAAGCATGCAATGCCAGCAAAGGTCAGAAAGGGGTGTCAGATGCCCTGGAACTAGAGTTAACAGAGGGCTGTTAGCTGCTATGTGCTGCCAAGGTTTGAGCCTGGTCGTCTGCGAGACCAGCCAGTGCTCTTACCCACTGAGCCACCGCCAGCCCTTCTGACTGCGATTTGTAAATATGGAGACAAGACACAGTGGGTTATGCATTGTCTTAAAAAACGAAGTTAACTTTATCTTTATAATAGTGAATACATACATTTTTGTGAAAATGCTATTCAGTTTTCCATTTTGCCAAGTTAATACTCATCTGCCATTTTTTAGTAACTGCTGGCCTTGAATGAAGTTACCACAGGAACATCTAGATTTTCTTGGTTTGTTCAGTGAGTTCATTGGAAGAGAGATGTGCAATTTAAAAGTTTACATTCCTAGTAATTTTTTTCATCTCAACAAATAACCTTTGATCAACATCCAGTTCCTTAACAAGGTGATTCAACTCTGTTCAAATTAAAGAGATATTCTATATGTAGAAATATTAACTGAGTAGTGCTTCTAGTATTTTCTACTCTTAAAAGTTGTTTAGGAAAAATTAATACTAAAGGTCTTTGTCCTTTGTTTCCAAGAATTGTGTATACACCTCAAACACATGTGAAGTGTTGGATTCATCAGTTCATATTTTCCATTCTCATTATTCCCACATTTTAGGTATTAAATTTGTAAAAGTAAAATCAACTTATTTTGATAGAATATAGGGTCCTGTTGCCTACAGAGCATTGGCAGAGGTGTCTGTGCCAAACACTGGCTGCCCTTTCTTTGGTGATTTGGTGAAGGGCACATTTCAATTTCTCCTCTCCTTGGCTGCATTCATACTCGAACTGTGTATTTTCTCATGTCACGTTCCGTCATCCAGGGACCAACAACAAACAGTGGATGCTCAAGCAGCAGAGTCCCCCACATTCCTGAACTGTTGGTCTTTGTTAGTTATCATTGCACGAAATCTCTTAGCAGTTTGAACTCTCAACTGTGCTAGATGGGAATTACTAATATATAAACACCTCTGTTGACCCTGGTTCTTGCTGTGTCTATACCTGTTCTGATTCTCCTCCCAAGATGGAAAAATCTGGACAAGGAAAAGAGTATTCTATTGTTTCTCAGTCTTCCTCTTTCTCAGAACAACTCAGGGTTTCAGGACCTTGAATCTTAGACAAATGTTTCTTAGTGTCTCCCTACTTACTATGGTGGATTAGAGCCATGCTGAAAGCTTAGGGTCCATGTGCCCACTCACCAAGCATATAATCTGTCACATGGGCACGGGTGCCCTCCCCACTGCTGTGCAGGAGGCCCTCTCAGGGCTTCCCCCTCTGAGATTTGAGGCCAAAGCACAAAACACACAACATAATTTTCTTATCTCAGGGGTTTAGGAAGATAGTTACTGTTGGCATGATAGTCCTATATAATTAGGAAACGCTAATCTTTAATTACAGATATTGAAACCAAAGTCAATCAAGGAAAAGACAAAAAAGAATTACTGAATTTAAAAATTTAACTATCATTTTATTTATTTATTTATTTATTTATTTTTTAAGACAGAGTTTCTCTGTGTAACAGCCCTAGCTGTCCTGGAACTCACAGAGATCCCTTTAACTGTGCCTCCCAAGTGCTGGGATTAAAGGTGCGTGCCACCATGCCCAGCCACAAAAACTGAAATATTTAAACATCATCTGTTCTTACCTTTTCCAATTTTACCCCAGTTAATAAAATAGGAGTAAAAATAATGAATAAGCCATAGAGATGACTAAATACCATTTTTTTGATTACTAGTACACCAAACTTGGAGTATATTATTGGAGGCTTAATTATTTTATTTGTATTTTATCCACTGTTTTTACTGAAATGACACTATATGTTTTTATCACATGAGACAATATAGTGATATATATATATATTGTGGAATGTTAAATATAGCTTAAACAAATATGCTGCTTCCCTATCATTAATTATTATTGTTATATTTTTGGTGATCATGTAACCTTTACATTTTATATTATTCAAGAATCTTTAACCATGGCCAATTTGCTGTACAAACTGTCTGAAAATGTATTTCTCTTACCTGATAGTTCCATATCCCTGTGAGAATATATTATTTTTTCTGTGTAATGAATTGTACAATTATGCCACCATAACTGAAGCTTTCAGTGAGAAAATGACAATACACACAAGTGGCTGACTATAGAATGTTGTAATAGATACATGGAGAGAAACAGTGATCTTAAAATGAAAAATTATTAATTCTGGTACAAATAATTTCTGATTTAGGAGAAATCCGATGTAGAATGGTAACCTTGACTTTGAAATATCCTACATTTAATAGTTTTAATAAGATAAAGAATTGTTTAAATATTCAAGAGGAAAACTCCTAGAATTTCCATACATGAATTATCTCATACATGCACGATTATGAGGTTAATCACAACTCATTTCTGCATACTTTGGAAAGGATGCAGAGAAGTATGCAGCCCATGAAAACCATGATGTACAAATGCTGATTTAAAATGTAAAACAATGATGACAGAAAAATATTGAAAGGCAAAACTATCAACCTAGAATTCCATACTGAAATACCTTTCAGAAACAAAAGAACAGATATTTTGAGGAAAATGGGAACTAAACAAACCTTTACTAGCAATTTGCACTTTAAGCTGTGTTAAATTAGATGGAGAAATAAGACTGAGGAGTAACCCTACCTGGATTTATGCTTTACTGTAAAGCTACAATAACCAAGCCAGGGAAATACTGTAAACCTCAAAGACAAGTCAGTGAAACAGTTGGAAGCCCTGGGGAAAAAAAAAAATTCCCTCTAGATATGCAGCCATCTGACTTACATCAAAGTAGCTACAGTTCCAGAGTGACTGGAAAGCCACGCATAAAAACTGAGTGTGTTGGGGCTGGAGAGATTACCCAGTGCTCAGGGGACCCAGGTTGGATTCTCAGCACCCACATGGCAGCTCACAAAGGTCTGTAATTTCAGTTCTTAGGGATCCATCGTCCTTCTGGCCTTGGAGGACACTGCATGCATATGACACACAGACAGACAAATATGCAGGCAAAACCCACATGTGCCTAATTAAAAAAAGAAACCCTGAATGTGGCTTCAGCTTATATATTATATTGTATAAACTACTCTGCCGAAGGAAACGAGACTATCTTCATGACCTGGAAGCAGGAAAAGGATAAATTAGACTGTACCAGAAATTCAACTTATGTTCACTAAAAGACACTATTAAGGGGAATGTGTAGTGGTGCATACCTGTCTTTTCAGCACCTGAGAGGCTGAGGTAGGAGGATTATAAGGTTAGTATGGGCTATAAAGTTAACCCCTGCCTTTAAAAGGATACCGTGAAGCCCATCATCAGGAAAGTCACAAACTGTGAGAAAGGAATTGTAAAGGTGCACCTGGCAGCAGACCTGTACCGAGGATTATACAGAACTCTTACAAATTGTACCACCGTCTCCCTATGTATATAAAATTCCTTGCCAGTAAACATCTTTAGAATGGCTAAAGTAAAGCCAGTGCTAACAGCAGGCAGAGAGAAAGATCAGGGGAAGGCAGGGGGAGGGAGGGGAAGAGGGGCCCCGCAGGATGGTAAAGAGATGATCAGATGGATATAATATGGGCATAGTAAAAGGTCCGCTGTATTTACAGACTGGCAAGTGCATGCCAATCAAGACTGTAGACACAGTGTCCTATATACTAGAATTCTCTTAACTTCTCCTTGTATAAAAGAAAAGTACCAGTAAATTGTTCATGCCTACTGTTGGAATGGAGGTGTGAGATTTTTTGAGCGCTTGTAAGAAAACTCCAAGAGACCAAGAAAAGAGTCTTGTGACCTCCATTTCTTTAAAAATATCAAATTATTCTTGGATTATGCTTCTGTGGCCTTCCCAGGTGTAGGATAGGAGTGAGTTTACTTCACTGACCATAGGTGTTTGCTTGTATGCCTTTATGGAAAAGCATGTTTTGCCATGTGTGGCTTGCTCACCATGTGCAGTGTGCCCTTATGATTGTACACTTTACTGATGTGACTCCTCTTAACCCTCAGATATAAAGTGTCTGATGCTTTGAATAAAGCTGGCTATTGCACGAAACTTTATAAATTCCACCCCATTTATGAGCCCCATTCTCCTAGGTTCTACCAAAGTTGTTTCAAGTCTAACTAGATGGCACTGACTGTGGGTAACTATAAGCTGGCTTCTTAAGCTTTGAGCTGAGAGAAACACACACACACACACACACACACACACACACACACACACACACATTTCATATCTCAAAAAAAAAAAAAAACCCAAGCCCAAAATTATTTCTTTCTACTCTTTATCAAAAAAGAAAAATACCAAAACCAAAACACAAAAAATAAAACCCACCAACCTTTTTCCTCTTTCTCTGCTTGCTTTTAGTAGAGTCTTGTCCTGTACTCCCATTCCCCAGGGATCCAGACGTGGCTCTCCCAGAATGCTGTGATCCAGAAGAGGGAGCTGTTGGTGTAGGAGGCGGTGTGTTCTCAGGAGAGTCTGGGCAGGACTTCAAACAGGACCCCTGCACAGACATATGGCTTTGAAATGAACTGATCAGACCTCCTAGCAATACATTATCTTTACTGCCTTTTGTGTTTAATACTACTTATAGTTTAAAATTTCCTTATTTTCCCATAGAAATGGATGTCTTTCCCCTAAAGTTCTAGTCATGATAATTTTTTACCTAATTATTCAGACAAAAATATTACTTCTACTGCCTCTAAAAAAAACCTGCTAACTTTGTTGGATAGCATGGAATTTTTGCTTGTATTTTAAGTTTCCAAGTTTCCAAAGGAATCTCTAAACTGTCCCCAAACTGGACAGCTTTAGACACTGTGTGTCAGTGGCTACCAGCATTTCCCTATAGCTCAAAATCTTCATTTTAGGATCACTGAGTCTTCCCGTTTGTCCTGTATGCAATGCTCCCTTTCCTTCCTAAACATTGCTCTTTTCTTTATTTTGATTATAAACCTGTATTTATTTCATCTCAAATATTTGAAGAACTTTATTCCCATGCTCAATTACTCTAACTTCTTTGAGCCAGTTATCATAGACAAAATCCCCTTCTTAACTCCCTTCACACATGCTCACTGGGTGAATGACATCCTGTAGGATGGTGTTAGGAAACATAGGTTCTTGCAATCGCAGATAAATGCCTGGGTGGCCACGTATGGCCTTGACCCTACATACAGCACAGCGATCACCTAGGCTACTAACCACTTCTGGCCTTCTGAGAAGAAAATAGGTTGCACATCTCTTCCTTTGAAGAGACACTGTGTGTTCAGCATTCCTGATTTTTTTTTTTTTTTGTGAAGTGTTTTTTGTGAAGGAGAAGGACCTCTGTGCTACAAACAGGGTGGTGTCTTAATGCTAGAACAAAAAGTTTTCTTGTCATATAATAATACTGGCTTCTAAGAAATTTACAGGTATGAAAGCTCTCTAAGTCATTTTCCTATAAAGTCTCATCCACACTTTCCTCATTCTATTCATCACTCTAACCATGCACTCCATGGATCAACCATTCTGTGTAATACAGTAAAAGAAATGATAGATTTTGCAGATCCCTTGCTGAAATTCTGGTACTGGTATCAACAGTATTTCCTTGATCAGACTGTCTGGAGACACTACCAAATAAAAACAGTAAAGCTAATTTTAGTTGAGTATCCTTTGCCCAAAATGCTTAGGATCAGTTTTGTTTCAGATTTTAAATTTTTAAAGAAATATTTCAGAATATTTGTGTAGCTCCAAGAGATCTTATTAATACATGTGTAAACCATATGCTGAAAAAAGATCTAGAAAATGTAACCATTACCAGTGCTATTACATCTGATGGTCTAGTGTGAGGAACCCAAGCTTCACCAGCCTGGTTCCTGCTGTGGTTAGTGTTTAAGGATGATGCCCCCTCAGATAAGATGAACCCAATCAACCTGGTGACTGATTACAATACATTGGCACTGATGTCAGGATCTTCTAAAGACATCTCTTTGAATTTATCATCCTTCAGCTGAGATCCCAAACTAGTCTTTGATAATTCTCAGTAGTCTGTAACAATATACAATCCCAGGCTTTAAAACTTTTTTTAAATGGGACTTCCTGTTAATTCTCTTTAATGAGTTTTTAGTTTCATCAGAGTTACTCACTTCCATCCCTTGCACAATTATTCTTTAGATGCCTCTGAGGCCCAGAATGTTCTTTCTCACCAGTTTCCATACCTTCAACATTTTGATATCCATGTGCATGCACACACACATGAGATTTATTTTAATTCTCTAGGTGGCTCATTGGAAGTCAGTATAATACACTAGCTTGGCTTCTGTGCTTATTCACGGATTTGCTTGTTTGTTTTACAAATCATTCAATCTCCCTTAACCTAGCTACTATCATTCTCCAGATGCCCCTCTGGCCCATATTTGGCACAATCCTTCATGTTGGCTGCTGATTTGCAATGCTGATGAGTGAGAATTCTGCCTTAGCATAGAATTATCTCTGTGTTTTATCAGATAATAAAGGACAGGAAGGGAGACAGTCTCTATGAATGTCTACTTTGACTACCAGTCACAGGGGAGGGTGGGTGGATGTCGGGCCAGGAAAAAGCTTGAGGCCAACACTGACAGTCTGTCGGGATGCTCTCTGAGACTTATGTTCCCACCTCCCAGATTGCCCAGGAAACCCAGTACACATAGGACATTTTTTTTTTTCAACTGCTTTTTAGCTGGGAAAAGCGCCTGTGGTTGTTGAGTAGTTGCCCAGGGTGGCTCGGCCACCCTGGAGAACCAAAAAAGAGGAATGGGGATGTTGGGGGTGCTTTCTGAGACTTGAAGCAATCACTTGAATGCTAAGGAAAAACTAGGTTGTTATGTTCACAGTAAATTTCCTCAATTAGAAATGTTACAACAAATTTGTCTGATGTTAATGGAAAGCACACTATACACATACTTATAAAGCATCAAAGACATTGCAAAGGGCGCTCTTTGACATCATAATTGGGGTTTGAAACATAAAGAAAATAAAGAGTGTTTAATCAACTAAGTAAGCTTTAGGAAGTTTTAAAGCATGGTGACTGATAATGATGTATGACCTTTTTAATGGGCATAAACATTTCAATCCCTACTTGGATTTCAAGCCAATCTGATTCTCCAAGGGCTACAAAAAGAAGTTGACTTCTGGCTTGTTACTAAGATGTTCTATTGGCAGATATCATAGTACAGGTCCTAAGCATTGTAGTGAAGTATACACAACTTGGGGTCCATGGTAACTAACAGAACAGGCTAATAGAATGGCTTCAGGGGCCTCTGAACAACCCAACATTACACTAAAAAAATGTGTACCCAGAAAGGGAGGTATATATATTTTTCTTTCTTCTTCAGACTTTCAAAAAGGTCCTTGGCATAAAGCAAATCACGATTGTGCTATTAAGTGGGTTTTGTTTTGTTCAGGTTATACATTCTGGCCAGCTTGATCTAAACTCACTTTGTAAGTACACACACAGATGTGAAGCTAATCTGTCTTCTTTCCTCTCTGGTTATTATTGTGAATGGTATGATACTGCTGCTTTTGTTATTAAGGAACTCAAATACTGACAAGTGCATTCAACATGTTCTGTTTCCTCTCTGGCTTTCAGGCACATTGTGCTAGTGGAGAGTATTTTAGAGACGAAAGTGGTGTAAAGGTTACACCCACAGGGACTTCCCAGGCCCTGCAGAAAAGGTCCTAGCAGCACAGATCAGATCAGATAAGAGGTGCCAATATTCAAACTGAGGATAGATGTCAATATAAATTGCTGCAGAGAAGAATCAGTAAATGATATCACAGGTTATGAGTAAATGTTAGGAATTATTACATGATAATACTACCTGCCTGACCCCAGCTCGTTCAGGGGTCTCTTGATTTCTTGCATGCTAGGCAAGAATTGTACCACTATAGCCCAACCCCAACTCTCATCATTTGAGCTACAAATAGCTTTCTCCATGATCATGTAATTACAGACACCAGTTATTCATTTCACGTGTCTCAAAGTGAGGCAGGTTCTGCAACCATCTGTCACTTAAGGACTAGGAAAGACAAGTATTCTTTAAAAAAGAATTAGTTTCTAATTTATTAAGTTTAATTATTTCATTTGATTTATTATTTAAAAAAAAAGGTATTCTTTTTTAAAAATGGGGTCCAGGGTGAATAGAGTCATCATGTCAAGTGGATCCTCAGGGCTTGCACAGGAAATGCTCCCTCATCATTTGTGGGAATGGTCACTCACTGCATTAAGAGTCTCTGAGTAAAGCTAGGTACTCTAAACAACATTTCCCAACAAGAACTAATGCAAACATGCAACAAATGCACAGCTGTGCTCCCCTCAGACTCTCTGATACTCACCTCAGCAGAGTTGTGATACTGAATGAAGGTTGCAGAAATGGCATGGCTCAAGGGGTCCCCTGCCTTCGAAACCATATCCTGTCTTACAAGAAGTGCCAGGTCCACTAGCTGAAGAACAGAGTGACAAATACACAGTGACATGGCTGGGAATGGTCATTAATGCCACAGAAGAGGCAATCAGTAACACTCAGCAGGTCATTGATATTAATACTGTCTGCCATCCATTTTGGACATAAGCACAGCCTCTCACTGACTGGTGGTGGGACCAGTTCACAATCACAAATGACGTGTTTAATTTTGTAAGGGAGTAGCTTCCAAACTTCATTTCGTTATCAACAGTGGGACATTTTAAATAGGGATTTCTGGACTGTGAGGCCTGGGATCCCAGGCTAGCCTAGGGGTTTCCATTTTCAAAATGGGCTAACAGGAGGCCGATCCTGTGGCCTAGAGACCATACCCAGGGCAGACTGTTGGAAAGCAGCAGTCTGCTGACCCCACCCCCTGACGATGGGTGGGACATGCACGGCCATCTCATCCTTATATCACTCATCACGGGGCTGCGTAGGGGACTCAGTTTCCCTGTTAAAGCAAGCGTGCCCCTCTTTTCCTCTTCCTCTTCTGCTTTCTCTCTCTCCTGCTTTCGGCTGGCCACCAGCTACTTCCCTCTGCCTCTCTCCCCCTCTCTCCTCTTCTGTTCCCGGTGCCTCTATGTCTCTTCCCTTCTCCCTCACTCCCCTTTCTAAATAAACTCCTCGTTTAAGCTCTATCTGCCTGGAGTGTTTTTCCCTCCTGCTATGGAACCCGCTATGCTCTCCCATGCGGTCTCTTACTTTGGGACCCCACTGACCTGGGACCCTCACTCGGGACTACCCTCCACCCCCCTTCCTGGCACCTGGAGTGCCATGACCCTATACCCACATATCTTCAGAGATAAAAGGGGCCACAGACTTTGACAGCCACTTGGTTCCAATAGCAGAAACATGCTCTTTAAAAAGTTTGTTGAGGATGTAAGATATCAACATCATGAAAAAATGCCCGCTCCATATATAGTTAGGATAAAGTTGAAGGAACGGACGTTTTTATTAACTCATCAAGAATTTCATTCATGCCAGCAGCGTATTGAGCTAAGATCCACTCCCAACTCTTCTAATTCCTCGCAGATCTACCCCATCCTCCTCCTCTTTTGTTTTAATAGCCCAGTGCAGTTTGTGCTGACTGTATACTCCTGGGAGTGGGGGCCACCCATGGGAGCACAGCTAACCTACCAGGGGACAAACTTAAAGAAAACTCTCCCTTCTCTCCCTTAGAAGCCGTCACTGTCAAAACTCCTTGGGTAGGAGTGGTGCATGTGAGCTGGAAGTGAGATGGGATGGAGACTAGATTAGGGTTGTGCAGGTATAGAAACAGTATTCTTACAACAACAACAACAACAACAACAACAACAACAACAAAACTTACAGCCCTGAGAACTAGCGATACAAAGGAACAAAACTGAACTAAATTCTAGAATATGATGTATTTTAGGAGAAAATTTATGCTGTCCTCATCCAGCTAGAGTGGCAGGTGGAATAAAGGACTGACCATGGACCCAGGGAGAGGCGATCAGCAGGAGCTGACAGTTCAGATTCTTACCTGTGCCACTGTTTCATACGCTAAATATGCCAGAATTTCCATAGCTATAACATTGGGCTTTATCTCCATACTGCCGCAGTCCAGCCAATCTCGAAATTTGGAAGCTTTTTTGGCTATTAATTAAAAAGAAAGTAAAAGTTTTAATTTTTAATGTTTTAGCCTTTGAACGACTGTCAGAAATTGGAAATACTTCTCCTGAAAACTGCACAGAAGAAATAACACCCATAGAAACAATGCTCAGGAAGTTCTCTTAATATCTACATCTTTTTTTTTTTTTTCTTTTTTCTTTTTTTCTGTCTCAAGAAATCCAAGTTGGAAACCCTGGTTAAGAAGCAATGCAATGGTTGCATTCCACAAATCCCTTATGTCTTGGATCTTGTATGCCTCTACATCACACCCTCTCACCTTTAGTCTCTCTACGGTGGAGAACATGGTACATCATACCCTCTAGTCTCTCGATGGTGGATGGCATGGTACACCACACCTTCCCACCATTGTATTTCTCTAGAATATGTTACCACTGAAAGCTACTTTCTCCATGCAACTCTATTCTTACAGACATACAATTCTGGAAGGAAAAGCTGTGATGAAGGCATACAGAGAAAGAAACTGCATTTCCAATCCTTCTCAAAATGTACCTACTCCTAAAAATAGGCTCAAAACTGTGAGAATTAAACAAGCCATTGCTGGCCTGAGAGAACCTGTCCTGTCTTTGCTGACTATGGATATGTTCAAATTCTTAGACCCGACTCTCCAAACCAAACTTACTGCAACCTGCCCTTGTCAGCAGGGAAGCGAGCTGGCCTTGAGTCTAGTCCCTGTGTCCTTTCGTCACCCTTCATTCACACCAACCCTGACCACCTGGGACAAAGGCAGACTTCTTGCACCATTTATGGAAATAACCACATATATTTCTTGTATTCATAGATTTCTCAGACCACAGTCTGAGCTCTTTGTTGGTAGAGAATATGCCTGCAGTCCCTGGGTACCAATCGTATCATGCAGATACGGAACCAAGCAGCACATAACCTTTCATTAAATACCTGTAATTGGCTGGGTGGTGGCGCACACCTTTAATCCCAGCACTCAGGACGCAGAGGCAGCTGGATCTCTGTGAGTTTGAGGGCAGCCTGGTCTACAGAGTGAGTTTTAGGATAGCCAGGGCTACATAGAGAGACCCTGTCTTCAAACACACACACACACACACACCAAAAAACCCCAAACAAACAAAACTCCTCACCACCAAACATAGTAATTGTCCAAGTACTAAGTGGAGTAGAACTGGCATAGGGCCTTGCTTAGACATTACTAGCTAGTCATTTAGAGGGGAAAAGGTGGGTTACCCTTTTGACTACTTTGGCCTTGCTGATCTCTCAAAGTCTTCACGTGGAACATGATGTTTAGCTCTAGTCGGGATCTCATGCATTCCACATACAGGGGAGTTTTCTTTTAAATAAATCACAGAAGACATGAAGTCCCGCTTTTGAAGAACATGTCCAAAGCTGTCAACTGTGGCAGAATTATGATAATCCTCCTTAAAGCTATCTCTCTAAAGTAACCGCTCTTCACACACAGACAGGCAGCATTCCATCTAACTAGCAAGCTGGAACGGCTCACAGAGCTTGTTCAGCATCTGTGGAGTTAAGAGGCAGCAGTTTGGCAAGATCAATAAAATGGACCTTATCCCCACCTCCCTCTGACAGAGCATTAGGAATGCAGACATGCGCACGAGACTGCTTTGAGCAAATGGTCTTAGAGGTAAGAAAGGATCAGTATTAGTTTTGAGCCACACCTCCACCCTCAGTGATAGAACTGGTGGTGTCTCTGTAAGCACTCAGAATGTAGAAATGTAAGCACCCATTGCATTCCCAGAAAGTAAATTACCTGTGCTAACAGACTCACCATATCTATAACTAATTCCCAAAAGATTATTTATATATATTATATATAATATATATGTAAAATATATTATATATAATATATATATTATACATATATATATATATATTTGTTCCTTTGTTTGTTTTGTTCTTTTGTGGTCTTTGAGACAGGGTCTCTCTGTGTAGCCCTGGCTGTCCTGGAACTCACTCTGTAGACCAGGCTGGCCTTAAACTCACAGATCTGCTTGCCTCTGCTTCAGGCGTGCTAGGATTAAAGGCATGCACCACCACACAGCAAATCTAGAGTCCAGTCTTTACTATGATTTAATATCTGTCTGTGTAGGGTATGGGAGTCATTCGTACATGTGTCACAGTGTGCATGTGGAGGTCACCCAGTGTGTAAAGCACCAGTGATTCCAGGGACTGCCATGAACAGATAGTTAATCAGGCACATGGCAGGCCGAGGTTCCCAAGTCCTTGTAATTCATCAGAAGAAGCAGACTGCAAAGAGCCCAATGCCATGCCTGCCCAGGGCTGCCTTCTGGATGTGCTGGAATGAGTCCTCTCAGCTTTGGTATTTCTGTCATAGAGAACAGGTTCTTCCAACCAGGGCTCATAATGAGGCTCCCACGGATACTATGTGAGCAAATATTTTTAATGCCAGAATTCTTCTTCCCCACAGAAAAGAAAATTATACATTAATATACTGCTTAATCTGTAATTTCATCAGAAGGAGAAAATATTAAGTTTCATCTACTATAGTTTTTTGTGCTCACTTCAACAAAAGAAAAGAAAAAACAGAGTCTAATTTTCAAATGAAGATGCATTTCCAGACTAAGGCCATTGGTTTTAGTGTGTAGCAGCACTCTATTTCTCCTTGTGAATTCAGTTTAAAATATGATTTAAAAAATAGTTCAACTGCACTAAATGCTACTTTATGAGCTGGAGATTTATGCTTATAAAATACTTGAATGCCGTATTTAAACCCCAAAATTACCATACAAAACCCTCTCATTTGCTGAAATTGCCATGATCTGAAGTGTCATTTACTTAATGCTTTACAGATGTCTGATGCCAAGTTGTTAGTCAGATTGGAAAATATATTTTGGTAGAAAAAAAAATCTTCCAAAACATGTTTTCTTATATTTTACTGGTGTTTGCATGGGGCATCGCTATTTGAAATGTGTCATTTATTTGCACTTCATGATCTAAAATGCTGTTCTCATTTTCTTTTTCCAAATCAAATACATGGTTATCGTGACCACACAATTGCTTTTCATTTAAAGACATCATTGTTTCTATGACTTCTCAGATCAGGGTCATGTGCACCTTTGTCATAATTTTAAATGGACTTTTCATTGCACTTTCTCTTTGACCTTTAGCCCAACAACTTTAGTCACCACTGGGCTGTTGCTACACAATCTAACCCACTGTTAGGGTCGTCAGTACTTTTCAGCAACTGCTGCTCAGTGATGGGAAGGCACTGACTTTACTGCTGCTACTCCTGTGGTGACAGCACTGACTCATGACACTGGCTAGCACGTAGGGCATGCGACAGTAGAAGGTTAAGGACAATATGAAACGCACTATTGAGATGTTACTTTGCGGTAACGTCAGAGTGCACAAAGGGAGTTTAGGATTTAGAAATAATATTGGGAGCTTTTAAATGCCATGACTATTAATGATCATGATGGGCCAGTACAGTCAGCAATACTAGTAAACATGACTAAGAGATTGGGAAGTGAAATAAGAATGGTAAGAAAAAAGTAACTGATCTGACGAAAGTCTGTATGAATGATTCCATTGCTCTCTGTGTATGCATATGCTCTCAAATCTCCTGACAAGATTGACTGAATAACAGTAGAACATGGCACAATCTTCAGGCTTCTCCAGGGCAGACGCTGTTTCTGTAACAAATTCTAAGGCTGCATCACATATTGAATACATCAGTTTCCAAGGGACAATCTAGGATGTCTGTAAGTGAAGTTAAATGTGTACTTACAGAAGCTCAGCTGTCGGCTTTCACAGAATTCTGCATATTGAGCTGAATCCATAGTTCGAGTCTGCCTTTCTGCTCTCTAAAGGGGGGGAAAAATAAATAAATAAAAAAGAAAAGAAAAAAGTCACAAAAACCAAGTTTTTAAAGAAAACAGACTCAACATACATTTCCATAGTAGAAACTTAGATTTCATGTACCATGTTCTATACTTTAATCAAGAAAGCAGTGAAGTATGGTGACAGACATGTAATATACTGTATAACCATGACAAGCAATCAATCAGAGCTGTGTTGGGGCTGGAGCCATCTCTGTAGTAGAGAGTGTGTGGCTGGGACCCCCGTTTGGTTCCCAGCACCCACATCTGGTGGCTCACAACCACCTGTAACTCTAGTTCCACAGGATCCAAGGCCCTCTTCTGGTTTCCATCGACACTGTATTCATGACACACACACACACACACACACACACACACACACACACACACACACACGTGTAATTGAATATAAACGACAAATATTACAGAGTAAAAAAATAGCAGTTGCAAACTTATTTCTTTTGGAGATAAAGCTTATAGTAATTTCTGTTCCTTTGTTCTTGAAGCTAAAACTCAAGGACTTAATGACTTAGCCAACACACATCTAACGATTTCTATTTATCCCATCCTTTGAAAAGAGAAGCGGACTGTGCAGGGAGGACAAAGCAGACATCAAAACCATCTCTACCCTCCGTTGTCCCTCTGCTTTACGGTTGTGATGTGGCAACATTAAAACAGGAGTTAACGCCTGAAACCCATACATTCCCCTCAGAGCACAGTGCCAGAGCTAACAAAGTCAACCTCTCTCCTCAGTTACAAAGAAAATAAGGAGAAAGGTAAACACAACACAACTCCTTTCATCTGAGTCCATGGATGATTCACAGCTTGGGCTAGCTGCACTCGTGGCTTTTTTGATTTGGTCCAGCAGATGTTTGCTCCTACATTGTTTCACAGAGGTAGCATAATTATACTTCACCCACAGTTTGGTGGCAAAGGCTACGACCACTTCCGCTTTCTTGGTAAGGGGAGCAGGTTGGGATGAGGCAGCCTGGTGCTTCTTGGAAGGGACATCTAACCAGCAAAGGGAAAACATACCCTGGGATTTATTTATTTATTTATTTATTTTTTTCTGCAGTGGAAGGACCTTCTGCAAATGTTCTTTCTCATAGCTGTGGGTGCATTCAAGAACAATGTTTCTAACGGTCACGGTACTTTTCCTTCCTTGTCTGATTTGAGATGAATAGTGAGTACACAGCCTTGTCACCTGAAGTACTATTCGGTGTAGAAAAGATGGAAAAGCTGGAGTGAGGAAGGACTGAGCCCCCTAGTGGGTGGGGCCCTTGAAAGCCTTGTTCTTGATTCCTCCTCCCCCTTCTTCTCCTTCTGACCCCCTTTCTTCCTTCCTTTACTTTTTCTCCAACCAAATATCCTCACCAACGTGTGAACACAAATCCAGACTTCTGCTTGTCACTTTAGAGCATACACAAACAAGTATTATACACAGGGTGGCATGTACATACCACACACACACACACACACACACACACACACACACACACACACACATACACACACAAGTCTACAGCCAACAACTTAGGATGTTGGTTCTCAGACATCTTCCCTCTTTAGTTTAGGATAGCATCCTTTGGACCTTCTGCACACAGTTCAGGCTGGCTTGCCCAGGAGGACCTTCCAGGGATTTGCCTGTTGCCGTCTCCCAATCTACCCATCCTGCCCTTGCTCAGGTCACTGGCACATACCACCAGGCCCAGAGTTGTACCTGGGTATTTGTCCTCAGGCTTGCATGGCAGTAATTTACCAAATGACCTATCTCTCTAGCCACTGGCCTCTTATGTTAATATGGCTGATAGGACTCAGTAAGTGTTCGACAATGGAAAACAAAAAGCAAACAAGTAAGTGCTTAGATTGTGAACAAATCCAGTGGGTTACTGATGTGCTTATTTGCAAAGGTCCTGCCAGATGATGTCTTTAATCCCAGCACTTGGGAGGCAAAGGCAGGCGGATCTCTGTGAGTTTGAGGTCACCCTGGTCTACAGAATGAGTTCCAGGACAGCCAGGGGTACACAGAGAAACCCTGTCTCAGAAAAAAATCCTCACACTGATATTATGTATTTAGGGAGGTTGTGTGTTTGTTTGTGTGTATGGTTACAGTGAGAACCTCTCAGGTGTGTTCATGTGTGTGCATGTATGTGCTCTTACAGTGAGAATCTCTCAGGTTTGAAAGTTTAGGTTCTAGAAAAATACCTGACACACAGTAAATAAGCAATGGATATTCTGAATGAATATCCTTTTACTCAACAGGGTGGGTAATGTTAGTAGCTCTCAGTAACTATGACTCCCACTCTGTCTGTTTGCTACCCTAAACCAGCCACCACATTCCCAAACACAGGACTAGACAGAAAGCACTTAGACAAAGACACACAGTCCTAAGGGAATTCCTAATACCTTTCTTCTACTGTGTTGGGCAACCAAGATCTGGCTTTGGTATACAGGCTAAGATAGGTGGTCTACAATTAGGAATTTTAGCCTTCTAAAGTGAGGAGAACTTATTCTGAAAGATTACGGTTGCAAGGTGGCAGCTGGGAGATTCTGTCTTGCAAAGTTACCATCTGAGGCCATTTGGAAGAAGCTGGCCTTAAGGCACTCACCAGACACCATTTATCAGAGCCTCACACACAGGAAGCACTCAGTGCAGGGCACTGACTGCAGTGAAGATGTATCAGCATGGTGTGTTAGAGCTGACAGCAGCTTAATGTGCATCTTGTTCAAGCCTCTTCATTGTATAGACAAGAAAGCTGAGGTTAGAAGAGATGCCATTTTCCAGAAGTCTGTGTATTTGCATTACCAAAGCTTTTTCTAGACTACATAACATGTTTTACTCCAATATTCTTGTGGGATGGTCTATGATCAGGAATTTAAAGAATTGTGACCATATTGTATGAATTCCAGATAGGGCCAGCAGATTTTAAAATGAAGTTCTATTGAAGAGAATCAAGAGACTATCCATATAGTAAATAACGATGGTTCTTGTTTTCTGTAGTACCCTAATTCCACTTTCCCCTGCTTCCCTTCAGACGCCTGTGCATTCTACAGTGTACACTGATGGGCCTCTTCCAATCTGGGTACCAAAGGACTGTCTGGGGAAAACCCCAGCTGAATACAACAGCCTGGTCATGATGACAATGTCTCCTCTACACAGAGAATATGACCTCTGAGACCAAAAGTGAAGACAACAGAGACACAGCTACATGTGTTGGCACATGTGTTTCCTAGAAAGTGACCTGTGTGCAGTGACTCTGAGAACCATGGCAGGAAATGTGTTCCCTTCATGTTCTGGCTTCTTCTGAACAAAGTGCCAAGCTGCCAGACTAATTTTAAAATCATGTCTCTAAAAGGGAGTTCTCCAGTTGAACTGATCATATAATATGATCTCAAAACTGGAATTTAAAAAAAGTCTGTATTGCCCAGGAATGCTCACACATGCCTATGATCTAAGTGCTTGTGAGGCTGAGGCAGGAGGATCACAAATTTGAGAACAGTAAGATCCTCTCTCAAAAAGTAAGCAAGTAAGCAACTACCCACTCCTCACCAAAGCAAACCAAAGCTTCATGTTTTTTTAGAATATTAGAAGCACAAATCCCCAAAGTGGGAATGGATGAACAATGGTTGCTGGCTCATGGGCCGTCTCAGTGACACAATGCTCTTTTTAGCTCAGACAACCACATGAGTACAAGGACATCTGTAGATGACTCAGCCTCCATATTCTCAAGGCCAGTTCCACATATGACCTGATTTCCTTGGTTATCAAACAACCCTGACCTCTAACACACTCACTTTTCCTCCAATTAAAGCTTTTGGTATTATTATACAACAAAATAAGAGCCTATTTGGGAAGTACTGCCTTTGAAGTTTATTATTGCTAGAGTGTTCTAAGCACTTGTCTCTCTCTCTCTCTCTCTCTCTCTCTCTCTCTCTCTCTCTCTCTCTCTCTCTCTCTCTCTTAAGGTAAGAGGGAATGGCTATGTTACTAGCCACCCATCTCACTACCAAGAAGTTTCAGCCTGTCCTGGTAATTGTATAATGAACTGTGAAGGCAGATTCCCATGCTAGATAGGGTCATTTTCTGGAGCCTACCTAAATTCAAACAGGAAAGGAAATATCTGCATCTAAGCGGTACTAGAATTGTTTTTTCATTAGCTTGAATTAACAAATTCTCAGTCCTTTAGTGACAAGTTGCTGGTGTCTTTGAAAAGCACCTTGGGCAGCAACAGTCACTACTTGCCACAGCCTACAGCATCTGGGTGACTCATGTGGCATGCAGCTCTATGCATGTTCCCCACGTGCTTTCCCTGAAGTGTGCTCAAAGGTTACAGAAACTATGTGCTGGCATATCTCCTGGAAGCTTCTCAACACACATGATGTCTATTTTTCTTGAGTAACTCAGTCACAGAACATAGCTTTAAAACCCAAGTACAAGTTTATCTGTTGTTTCTATTCCAAAAAGACATGTTTTAAAAAACTCTTATTTTAATCCCCCTTAGAATTTTCACCACTAAAAGTAAAGCCCCTTCTGAATGGAAAAGTATTATGTTCTTGGTTCTTTCCCTTACACTGGAGCAGAAACAGATGACAAACTTGAAAACCTCAACTGGAGTGGCAGCACTCAACACGGCAACACACGGACAATCTGTTTGTCAATATGTGTGTTCACTGTATGTGTGCAGAAGGACACAGCAGTAAAGCACACCCAATCCTGAAGAAACCCACTTTCATCCGTATGTAAGGTAACGTCTGACAGGCAGGCATGCTTATCTCAGGAACTGCAGGAAAACCTAGGAACTCTAGTACATGTGTGCACTGTTGTGCATGTATGCGTGCATACACACACACACACACACACACACACACACACACACACACATGCATTCTGCCTGCTGAATCAGCTTGTAATTGAGTAGGTTAATTTCCATTTCAGAAGAGACTCCCTTAAAACACATGGCAAGAGTTCCTTTTTCTCTTCCCAG